TTATCCTGATCCCTTCCAAGTGCTATATAGTCGTAATGGCTTGGCGCTTTCCCCCTGATAATTCCTTCCCCTCACCTTGGAGTCAGCTCATCACCTAGAATACAGTACAAATAATAATGCTGACACGTGCCTGATCACTGGCGTAACAATGCTGCAACATAGTATTATTATACAGCATACCCACAGTATACAGGTTTGGATGGAATTCAATCTAAAGTCATACAGGTGCTGGGAGAAGGATCTCAGTTAGTTTTATGTCTTAGTTTTCTCATTTTCCCACATTTTGTCCGAAACACTGTGCGTATTAGTGGCTTTAGGCATAGTATATACTGCACTACCTCAAAAAATACAACATTCTATTTGTACTCAATATATGTGTGTACTTTTACCTAAACAAACTATATATATTTATTTGTTTATTTATGTATCTATTTATTTATTAATTAATTTATTTATTTATTTAACTATGCCTACCGCTGAAACTCTGTTTCACAAAATTTCTGGACCAAGGTATAGTCTCCCTGGGTTGGACATATACAAATGTCCCCACAATTTAAAAAAAAATAGAAAGAGCTCAGCAGGAAACTATATGCCGGCCGACCAGCTTGACATCAAATATCAAATCAAATCAAATCAAATCAAATCAAATGTTTATTTAGGTAAGGTACATACATACAAGAGATTTTACAAAGAGTGATGGATTTATAGATAGGGCTAGTACATACAATGCCTAAAGCCACTATTACGCAAAGCGTTTCGGGCATATCTGCAAGGTCATGGAGAGAGTCCTCAGGGAGGGAATCATTCACCATCTTTCAGTGAACAATAATATAAATTCGACACAACATGGATTTTTAAAAAAAATAGATCCTGCCTTACAAACCTGCTCACATTGTTGGAAACGGTAACCAGCTACTCAGAAAAAGGTCTTCTGATGGATGCAGTATACATGGATTTTGCTAAAGCCTTTGATAAGGTACGGCATGGAAAAACTGACAAGGAAATTACAGACTCATGGAATAAATAGTAGAATACTAGAATAAAACAATGGTTAAAATAACAAAAATAACAATACAATAGTTACAATAAAGAAACCAGAGGGTCGTCCCATAGGGGGGAATGAGTCTGGAGAAATGTAGTCAGTGGGGTACCACAGGGGGCCATTTTGTGGCCAACATTTTTTTGTTGGGGTCCATTTTGTTGGGGGTCCACAGGGGTCCATTTTTTGTCATATACATTAAAGACATAGATGAGAATATTATAAATCACATCATCAAATTTGCAGATGACACAAAGATTTATGGTAAAGTGGGAAATGATAATGTTGAAGCCTTACAAAGGTAAAGTGGAAAGTTTAAACTACATAAACTCCATAAACGGTCAGAAGACTGGCAAATGCCTTTTAATATCGACAAATGAAAGACCTTGCATGTAGGGCATAACAACCCATGCCACAACTACAAAATTAATAACATTATCTTTCAGCATTCAGACTTAGATTACTGTATCTAAGCATGGAGACCTCACTACTAGAAGGACACAGCTGCTCTAGAGAAAGTGCAACACCGGGCAACAAAAATCATTCTAGCGCTAAGTCAACTCTGGCACCAAGAGCGGTTGACGGCCACAGACCTAACAACACTGCAAACCAGGCATGACAGGGCGGATCTTTTTTATTTTATATTATACAAGAGTGTTTACATTCTCGTAAAGCTCCTAGCACGACTAGCGTTTCTGGCAGGTCTTTAATCTTCCATTCCATTCACCTGGGCTCTAGGAGACTCGAACCCTGGACCCCACCCTGAGGCCCAAGCTCTATCGATCTATCTAGTTTACTGACTTTAATCTTAATTTTCCCATGGAATACGACCCGCAAATCGTTTAGCAACCTGGTACCCGTTCACTCTTCTCAAGCAGAGAGAAAGATCTAGGGGTAGATATCACACCGAGCTTGCCCCCCAGAAGCCCACATCAAACGGATATCATCAGCGGCATATACTAGAGTGGCCAACGCAAGAACTGCCTTTAGAAACTTGTGTGAGGAATCATTCAGGTCCTTGTATACCACATATATCAGCCCAGTCCTGCCATGCAGCTCCAACACTACAAGGTAAGGGAACTATAAGGATAAAGTGCCAAGTCATTACGATTACTTGGATACCATACTTAGTTAAACACAAGACAAAGTTAGAGAAGATTCAGAGATATGCCCCATGACTAGTACCAGAGCTGAGAGGCATGAATTACGAGGAAACGCTACGGGAATCAAATCTTACGTCCCCTGGAAGACAGAAGAGTTAGAGGAGGCATGATCACCACCTACAAAACTCTCAGAGGAATTGACAAGGTGGACAAAGAAAAACTATTTAGCATGGACGGAATACGAACATGAGCACACAGGTGGAAGCTTAGTGCTCAAATGAGCACTAAGTAAGTTAGTGCTCAGTGTAAATTAGTGTACACTAAGTAAATTAGTGAAAATGTTAGTGCACATTAGTAAAGATTTTTTCAGTGTCAGGGTAGTTAACAAATGGAGTGCAATAAGCAGTGATGTGGTGGAGGCAGACTCCATACACAGTTTCAAATGTTGATATGATAGAGCCCAATAGGCTCAGGAACCTATATACCAGCCGATTGACAGTCGAGTGACGAGACCACAGAGCCGAAACTCAACCCCCGCAAGCACAACTAGGTGAGTACTGGTGGCTGATCAGAGGAGTGCAGAGGATTGGCATCTAGTCAATCCTCCCCGGCCAGGATACGAGCCACAATGCACGACTGAAAACAGGAGATTCTTTTTCACCCACAAGGTAATAAACCCATGGAACTGCCTACCCGCCGAACCCGTAAATAGCAAATTTTTTTTCAGGCAAGTCCTTAATCCTATGTTCCCCGGAATACGACCCCAGCGAAGAATCGTTTAACAACCAAGTACCCATTTTACTGTAGAGTTAAACAGAGGCTACAGTTAGGGATCTGCACCTAGTTAATCCTCCCAGGCCAGGATACGAACCCAGTATAGCCAGGCGAGCGTTTTACCACTAAGCCACGGAGACTGCATGGATTGGCTCTGTTAAGTTTAACCTCTGTTAACTTTTGAAAGTTCTGTTTAACTTTAAAGTAAAGGAAACGATCATCAAGGCAAATCCAGCGATGTGTAAATATTTCATTCAAAATGATCTGCTACCAGAAATTTTAGCCAAATATCCCCAGTATGCAAACTATAGGTAGTAATTAAGTGATTGTAATCTATCCACCGCTGCCCACTAGATGGGGGCGGTGTGCAGGACAAACATATTAATTGTGACACTAGGCTCTCCACATATGTCAGTTGCTTAATTTAGAAATTGTATTTGTGGTCGATCTCGAACCCATTGTTGATGTGACGACTTATATTGAATTTTGTAACTAGCTCATCAAGATTGTAACTTGCTTAGCTAAATGAACTGTGGGGTTCAGTCCCTGAGCCCATTATGTGCCTCTGTAACCCTTTCCACTACCGCCCACAAGATGGGTATGGGGTGCATAATAAATGAACTAATCTAACAAGGCAAATCGGGGACCTTCGATAAGCCGCCAGCTTCCTGTCCTCGTCGAGGCCACTAGTGTTAGTGGCTTTCAGGTAAATTCAGGTAAAATTCAGAACCCAAGCTGAATCCTTTGCGAAGCGCGGGGCGAGTGACTTACCACTGCGCCAGAGACTGATCTCACCGAGGCTTTTAAAATACTGAACAATTTGGAGGATGTTGGTCCAGACAATTTCTTCAAAAGATGAAATGTAACACAAACAAGGAACGACGGTTTCAAGCTCAACAAGCCACATTGTAGAAATAAGAACTGGAGATGCTTTTTCACCCACAGGGTTATAAACCCATGGAACCGCCTACCCGCTGAGGCTGTAAATTTATGCCAAATTTTTTTAAATTTTAAAATCCAGCTGAAAGAAATCATCAGAGGATATTGGGGACCTTTAACAAGCCGCTGGCTTCCTGTCCTTGTCGAGGCTACTAGTGTTAGTGGCCTTCAAGTAAATTCAGGTATATATTATAACTGAGTTCACCCTTGGCCTTATACAGCTCCTTCGACCTTGATTTCGATTTTGTGGACATGATAACTGACAATCCAATAAATAGGTAGGAGGCTGGTCCCTAGAGCTTGACTTGACGAAGTGTTGGCACAGGTAGAGTGACTAGCTACAACAGTACAAAGAGAACCACAATATATAAAATATATTGTCGAACAGTTTTTCTTAATTTGCGAAGAATGCAATATACACAAATTATTTCCACGGTCACTGACGCTTTCCTCTCACAAAAATAAAATTAACCCTTTAGCGTTTCTATAATACGGCCTCACGGTATTAAATTATTAATAAATTAATGGAATACAAGGGAAATTACAAATCCGGATGGAGTAATATAAGCCATAACTGGTGTTTTGGCCTTCAACTTGGAGCTATCGCTTGTATCACTCTACTGTTGCTAATGTGGCCACAATATTTATCTCTTTTATTTTATTTTTGATGAATAATGGACTCTAATTATAAATTATAAATTTTATGCGTATATATCATTTAATAATACATCTATTTACGATAATCTTATCTTTCGAAAGATGCTATGCTTGTAGTCAATGTAAAGACTATAGTGGAGACATTTTAATATAGCAGTATTAATAAATATACTGTAGTTTTGATTTAAAAAGTATAAGAAATTATATTAAAAGTATTTGATTTAAGATCGTATTGAATAAATAAGAATTTATTACATACAATTTTAAAGCTTTTAATCCTCATTCAGTGTTTTGACAGACCAGATTTGCCAAGCTACAAGGAAAACGCTTCGAGTAGAAAATTTTGTAATATTGAAAGTATATTGCAAGGTGAGGCGCAGTTATCTTCGTGTGCTGCACACTTTAAAGTCTGCTCTGTAGCTTTAAGAACGATTACGCTAATGCTTTGGTAACTATAGCAGCAGCAAGGCCAAATGGCTGAGAGGAGTATTGTGAAGCTGTGCTTATCTTACTTCCTTGCTCTTGGTTAAAAGTTCCCGTGTGAGTAAGCTCGGCCGTGGTCTCCTGGAGCTCCCACACGCTGTCACGGCCACCGCACAGCTCTCGCACTGCTACACAAGTGTCTAACTGGTTGTAAGAACAGGAGTTTACTCGCACCCACAAAGTTCCCAGGGGGAATGCCGAGGGTGACTGTTTTGTAGTTCGTCCTTTGTGAGGGTAAATGTTTTCATTAGTCCCATCACCAAAGGAAGGTTTACTGGATCCATACAGGGAAATTGTCAGGTTTACAGTCGTCGGTGAATCAGTGTTGAATTGCAGCTGTTGAGCCAGAATTTCACATTAGTTTGTTAATGTGTGAAGTGTTTACTGCAGTGCACCGTGTGCAGTTTTAGGATACCTAGACTTGCTTTGGCATTTAATGGCCCATTTGTTTTTGCCATTGTTGTATTTTATAGTTCATTTTGTATTTAATAATTGTTTGCAAGACCGACTAGTGTTAAATGTCGTTTCTTGCCCGAAACGGTATGCGTATTAGTGGCTTTAGGTGTTTTATGTACTAGCTCTATTTATAAATCCAACTTTTGTTTGTAAATCAACTATGTATGCACTTTTCCTGAATAAAGAATTGGAATTTTGAATTTGAAAAGGGTCTCATTATTTTGATCTGCGCTACTCTTTTTGTTAAATGAATCTAACTACGAAAATATGAAATTTATATATTTTTTCTTACCCTGTGCAGCGTTACTGACTTGCCTCTGGGAATTGTGTATACAGGGTACTAATAATGACCATGCTGGATTGTGTGTTTAATATTCCTAATAGGTTCAATTGAGTTTGAAATTAATTTTGCAAAGTGTGCTTTAAACAGATCTGTAGCCTTAACCCCCTTTGTTTTTAAAACCTCATTTACAAGTTCGAGTTGCTTAGATTGGTTGGTACAGCAACTGCTGTACTGATTCTTGGTGGTCTAAGTGGTTGAGCACAGTTCGCTTATTGTATTTGAGCATTGAGGGAGGCTGAGCGAACAGAACACTGGACGCCTGATTCTGTGGTCCCTGGTTTGATCCCGGGCGCCGGCGAGAAACAATGGGCAGAGTTTTTCACCCTGATGCCCCTGTTACCTAGCAGTAAATAGGTACCTGGGAGTTAGTCAGCTTTCATGGGCTGCTTCCTGGGGGTGGAGGCCTGGTCGAGGACCAGGCCGCGGGGACAATAAGCCCCGAAATCATCTCGAGATAACCTCAAGGTAGTCTTTTGTATCTTTTCCTAGGGTTAATATGGTAAGTATACAGGCTTGCTACATTCTCCTGATTCTCCTACATTCTCCCTTACCTTATCCAACAAGGAATGAATTTGGTATAAAGAATTTATATTTTATTTTTTAATGAATTAAATAAATCTTTTTATACTATGAAAAGAAAATATTTTTTAGATATTAAAAGCAAGATTAAAAATGTAAATTTTAAATCTTCATTGTATAATGTGTTAGAAGGGATAACCATCGGTGCCCACGATAGTCTTCCCCACCTAACATCACCCCCCCCCTCTCCTCGCATCCCCCTTCTTCCCTCCCCTTCATCTTACTCCTCCCCTCTTTTGCCCTTCTTTTTTCCCCTTCTGTCCCTCTTTCCTGTCTGGCATCCAACAGACTTTTAATTTATATATAGAAGGGTTACTTGGTTGCATCTGGGTCCCTTCTCCCCCAGGGAAGGGGGTAAAGGGACTCAGATGGGTCCCATCATCTGGGTCCCTTTGGAGGCTCCATTTTGAGGCTTCCAGCACTTCCCAGAGGATTCACTAGAGTTGGTCAACTTTTGTACTGTATCACTGTAACTGAGCAGTTAAGGCAGGTACAGTATCGGAGAATCGCCAGGTCGTGAGTTCTCCATTGTCTCAAAATGATTTACATTGATATATCATGCCATTGTGATTTCATTGTGGTCTGACTGGGGTGTAAGAGTGTGAATACCATGTACTCGTCTAGTTGTGCTTGTGGGGGGTTGAGCTTCGGTTCTTTGGTTTTGCCTCTCGACTGTCAATTGACTGGTGTACAGATTCCCAAGCCAATTGAGCTCTATGCATGCATGCATGCATGCATGCATGTATGTGTGTGTATAAATACATACATACTGTACTGCATATTGGACACCAGCTTGAATGAACACAAGACATTTATACAGTACAGTACTGTATTTACAGAACAATATTTTAACTCTTTCGCACTTTGGGCGAGCGAGCGCCAGACCACCTCAAGGTGGGCCTGGCATTCCACGGGAACGCGCGGTTTTTAATTTTGGTTTTCACTTTTTTTTTTAAATTTTGTCACGTCAATTCTCATCCTAGGTTTTTCATTTTGGTATCAATGTGTTTGCAATAAAATTCCCTACATGAGTATATGCATATAATTTCCTAAACTGCGGCACGCCCCACCTGCAGCCAAGCTGAAAGCAGGCAAACTTTTTTTTATTTTTTGACCCACCGATGCGTCGTTCCTGCACATTCGTCTAATAGATTTTTTACGCCATACTGCGTCTTGCCTGTGAAAAAGTGTTAAGTTAATTTCCATTGCAACCATTTACAAACTTAAGACCTGAACCAATTCTGTCCTCTGTATTTGAACTTCATATGAGTGGGATTCCACTGTAATGACTAAAGTTATTATAGTGTTTAATTTTATTATTTATTATTATTATATAGTTGTTCACTTGGACTGTTCAATTCAGAGACAGCCTCACTTGCAAAGTCACCATTCAACCCCTGATGGTTATTGGTCCTCATATCCCAGCTCCTTGTCATCTTATCTCTTCCAAGTGCTATTTGGTATAGTTATACTGTACATCTGAATCCAAGAGGAGCAGCGTTTTGATGGGGAAAAAGTGAATTTGTCATAGTTCTTTATATGGAGGTTGCAGTGAATTAATGTTTTGTCATAAGTTGATTAAAACCATTTAAAATTGCCATTAATGGCTGGTAAAGAAGAGATCATTTTAAGTTAGGAATGTCAACAGATGTATTATCATGAAACGAAGTTACTGAAAGTAGATGCACCTGATTACATAAAATGGAATAAAATATATGTAACATGATAATTCTTGGAATTTGTATTGTACTTATAATTCTTCAGTCTAAAGTCTTCGGGGTTTCATTCTGCCTTAGAATTACATGGTAGCTAGTGCCTAAGTTTATTTTTTTTTTTATACTATTCTAGCTTATACAGTACTCTGTTGTAAATGTATTACATGTGTGGTTGTTGTCACTTCACAGGGAAGCTAAAACAAAGTCTCCTGGTGGAAAGGACGCAATGGGAGACTGCAGTGACCTTGACCGCCAGATTGAGCAGCTGCGGCGGTGTGAGGTCATAAAGGAGGCAGAAGTTAAAGCTCTTTGTGCCAAGGCCAGAGAAATTCTTGTAGAAGAAAGCAATGTACAGAGAGTCGACTCGCCTGTTACGGTGAGTTGAAAGAAGGTTCAGCCTTTCTATTAATTATTATTCAGTTTTTAGTGTGTGCGCATGCAAGTGTGTGGTTCCTGTGTAGGTTTTGTTTAGTTAAACGTTTCACACAAAATTTATTTGACATTTCAGGTATGTGGGGATATTCATGGCCAGTTTTATGATCTGAAAGAATTGTTTAAGGTTGGAGGAGACGTACCGGATACTAACTATCTCTTTATGGGAGACTTTGTCGACAGAGGTTTCTACAGTGTAGAGACTTTTCTGCTCCTTTTAGCGTTAAAGGTAAGCCTATCAAATGAAGATTTAGGTCTTGGTTTCTTGGTTAATCTTGGCTTTTATTTTTATCAATTTTTCTTTAGAATATTGTAAATATGCTGTATATTTGTAAGAAAATCATGTACAGTACAGTACTGTACTATACAAGTATTGATCATATGATTTGTTGATTTAGTATTTGGCTTTATTAATTTTTTAGAATCTTATTGCCCCATGTAAAGGTTAAATGCATGTATATTAACTAGTAAGATAATTAAGACTTTATTAGTGCTTGGTGTTGGTATGTATACTGTATGCAGTACATGTTTGTACATTAGGATATCACTTGTCCTTTGTACCTCCAATCTTTGCCTGTCCAATGATAACACTTTTTTTTTTCACTTTATTCACTTAAAGTGAAACCATTTTAATCATTCTACGTATTTCCTCCTCAATAGCAATCTCTTCCAAATTTTTACAATATTTTGACAAGAATTTCCACTCATTCTCCTCCCAGCTGCTGTCTTTCTCTTACATGCTATCTTTATAATCTAGAAAATATTGCACTAGTGATTATTTATTTTAGTTTTTGCTACTGCTGTTATAGCTGGCTTTGTCTTCTGTCCTTTGAGTTTGTCTGCTTTGACAAGTCATCTGTATTAGTGTGCCATATATTTAGGATTTCTTTGTTATTGTCCTCTATGCAACAATAACCTCTATGTAATCTATGATATTCCTATCTATGCAAGTGGTCAGCTTTGGCTTGTCTATTGCATAATCACAAATCTATTGCAAAATGCTATAATAAAATAAAATAAAGCCCTAGTCCAGAAATAAGCTCTATCCTATGAGGTACAGAACTGGCAATTTTTCTTTCTAATCCTCATAGTAGAAATAGCCAGGAATGCATCCTGTGAACATCTTTCACATCATTACAACATGCAACATCTTTTCTCTGATAACTCTAAAATCAGCCTTAAAATATTTGTGGAAAACCTGGACAAATTAATCATATTTAGTCTTCGAATGGGCAACAGAAAGCATGTTCAGCAGTGACATATTCCAATTATTTTGGTATGAAAAAGGCTTTAAATGTAATAAAGAATATAGTATTCAGATCTTTTCATGAAAGTGACCCAAATAAAAGATCTAGGAATAATGATATTCAAAACACTGTTCTCTTAAAATGGAATATTGTTTTTACATTCTGTTTTCCCTCTAGGAATCTTCAGGCAATTAAATTGCCAAAACTGCCCCAAGCACTAAATAGTACTTTCTGGAGTACTTTATAAGTGAAAACGAAATCTCATAATATACACATGATAAATGGGTGTACATGTACTGGAGTCAAGCTCCAGTACTCAAAAATTCCTGAAAGTAAATGAAGTTTTTATTGGTAATACCGGAGTGAGAGATGGTAGAAAAGTGTAGAGGAAAGAGTGGCAAAAGCACAATTAGACTGTAAACAGACATCAACCTCAGACATGCAAATACCAGTACTGTATAAGAAATATTGGAACAAACATTTGGAGACAAGAATGAACTTGGCGAGACCTTCCAGGCAACTCGGCCAGATTGTGTAATCTGCATGCTTTAAATACATATAGCCTAGCTGACCTGACAAAATACACTACTGTTAATGGACCCTCAAGGAAACTGGTAATCTCATTTCCTAGCCTATTCCTTCTAGATATTACTTTCACTGAAGCTTTTGTCATAAAGGTCATTTGTGGCTTTATTTTTTATCCAAGGCCTCTTGTGCTGTTTCTCATCTTGAGTATAGTTCCTCTGTCATCTCTTAGAATGGAGGTGTAACCACACATTACTTAATTTCAGTAATCTTTTAGGATAACGAGTTGAAATTGCATATATTTTTCCTCTACCATGATGAGTAATACTTGCCTAAGTACTCAAACTCCTGAAAGTGAATGAAGTTTTTATAAGTAATGTGATCCAAAGCCTTCCTATATTGAAAGTCATGAGGGTTAATCCCACTGGTTGCCTCTGAACTTGGTCGGAGTAATACCATTTTGTACTGACTTACATATAGTATAATAATAATCCCAGACATGTGAATACAGGTATCTTTACTATGTGTAAATAATTAATGTATATTACTTAAAACTTATGAACCCTCAACATTTGTAATGTGCCAGAATTTGTAAAGGTAACTGCTGACAAACAATACTATAATGTGGACTCTTGGTTTTTACATGCAGGGATATTATTCCATTTTGTACATGCTGCAATAATTAATTTATTAAATTAAGATAATGTTTTAAAGTTTAATATGGTTAATTCTTGTCTACTTTTTCTTCAAATAGATACCAAATAGATATATAGATACCAAAATTGTCATGATTTTCAATAAATTGTTAATAAATTTAGCTGTGCTTAAAACAACTAATGAGAATTTACTTTTTGTTTATTCAAGAATAAATTGTCATAGGTGTTGTTGATAAACTTCAATGCTTCTCTACAGCATTAAAGAAAGTTTTTGTATTGCTAATAAATTAAAAATATTGCATAAACGGTAGTAGTAGGCATCCGTCAGTCTCGGAAGACTATGGAGTTGCGCCCTGACAGGGCGCAAAGCCTGGGTAGGTAGATATGGAGGAGAAGCTGTTACCCATGCAGCAGGCACCCCCCCCCCCCCCTCTTCACGTTGCTGAAATTATCCAATAGAAAGGCAAATGCCAATACACATGGTTCCAACAACGTCGCAGGAGCTGCCAGAACGAGGTAGACGTCAACAATGAACTGCCTTAGGGGCTCCAACTCCAGATTTTTCCTCGAGGTTGACTCCTGAAGCCTTTCCCAAAAAAGGGGTATGGCCGCAAGGCAGCGGAGGTTTAAAATCAGGGTTTTCCTTCCCCTAGATGGGCTGCCTTTCCAGGCTATCGAATCCCATCTACCCGGAGCAGCTGGTTTTAAGGCGCCAGAGGCACGCCCTCGCCCCTTCTGTCGGTAAAAGCAGTTCTGCCGGACTTAAAGACTAAGCCACCCGTGCAGGCCAGGAGTTGCATAAACATTTGCATAAACAGTACATTATGTGTATGTAATTACAAATTATTTTCATGGATCACATTTTCCCACATAGTCCATCTTGAGGTTATCTTGAGATAATTTTGGGGCTTAGCGTCCCCACGGCCCAGTCCTCGACCAGGCCTCCTTTTTGCTACACAACCCCCAGGAAGCAGCCCGTAGCAGCTGTCTAACTTCCAGGTACCTATTTACTGCTAGGTAACAGGGGCATCAGGGTGAAAGAAACATTTTGCTATTTGTCTCCGCCTCCACCGAGGGTGGAGACTCCATGTACTGTACTAAATTTCCATTATAAAAGGCTAATTCAAATTGATGACTAAAGCATTCTCTTGGTTAATTACCCTGGGCTGTACCCTGGTTCTGGGAGTTCTTCTCAAGCCTGGCTTGGGGCCAGGCTTGACTTTTGAGTTTGGTTCAACAGGCTGTTGCTTGGAGTGGCCTGCACGCCCACATATCCACTATAACTGGGTTGGTCCAGTACTTCTTGGAGAAAACTGTCCAGTTTTTTCTTGAAGACTTCCACTTTTGTTCTGGCAATATTTCTTATATTGAACAACTGTGGGCCTCTGCTGTTCTTATAGTGTTCTCTGTCTCTATGGCACCACTACTCTTCACTGGCTCTATTCTCCATTTCCTTTCATATTGTTCACTCCAAGTTTCTCAATCAAATTTTATGTAATGTTCATATAATTGATTTAACTTTATTTTAAAAGTTTTTACCACTTCAAATTTCTGGTAGACATACTGTACTTTATTGTTGTTCAAATAATTCACAACAACCACTTCCTCTTAAATAGTGTTACTTTATTTGTAGGCTAACGAGCTAGTTAGTGGTGTGTCTAGACTTTATTGTAAGTGTGGTGGTCACTGGTCACTATATTTATCAAACTACCTTCACCTTCCTTACTGTCTTCAATTCTTTATTAAAGAAGGATAATTTGGTCGTGTTACCTCTTTGATGTATGTATTGATATACTTTTATAATTCATTTACAGTATATTATTTAAATTCCTTGGTATATCATTGATTGTAGATATCTATTATTGTATACATTTAGTAGTTTTAGGGTGTTGTCTTCATAAAATATTATGAAATGAATTATACTACACTGTACCTGTATTTCCAATCTGTATATTGTATATACATGTAAATTAATCTTAATCTTAAATAGTATATACATGTAAATTAATTTCTTTCTTTATAATTCATTTTCACCCTTATAGGTACGATATCCTGACAGAATAACGTTGATTAGAGGTAATCATGAATCGAGACAAATAACTCAAGTTTATGGCTTTTATGATGAATGTCTAAGAAAATATGGTTCTATCACAGTTTGGCGGTATTGCACAGAAATTTTTGATTACCTCTCATTATCAGCTATTATTGACGGAAAGGTGAGTGTTCTTACTACTGTCGGGGGGATGTGTGTGTATGATACTAAGTGTGATTAGTTAGCCACCTGTGCTGTTATGTATCCTGGGTACCCTTCATCTCCATTCTATGAAATAGTCCAATTCTCTTGAATCGACAAAATTTAACAAATTTAATTTTATTATTGTACTCTATATCCCTTTTAATTTTAAATTTTTGAGAATATATCCGGAATGGGGCAAATTTGAGATAAAGAAAATAAATGTATTATGCATGGAGTGATTGATAAATGATGTATGATTGAATGATATGGGGAGTCTACATATGGCAACTTGCTGGATGGGGTTGCACAGTACATCACTTCAAGCTGCAAAATATTAGGGGCACATTATAAATAATTGAACAATAATTCAATAATTGTGTAGTTAATTTGTATTCTGGAAAGTTTACAACATTTGTAGTCTGTTGTATTTCAATATACAAATTATTTTTAGCTACAAAAGGCGACATGGTTTTACTAAATTTGTCGGTATTATTTTTCAAGGAGGAAGCAGTAATTTGGAGCAGATATGAACATTAAAGAAAAAAGGACTAACCCCCAAACTGTGTGGGCTATATCGGTGCACAACAAAAAATTTGCTAAAAATATTCATTTTTCTTTTAACAGTTTATCGTCCACTGAACATGAATACAATATCTGTAAAGTCTCTAAACCACAAACCACAGTATGTATATAGATGTAGCATCTACCTACCTGTTGATAATTTTGAGGATCAATGTTCCCACAGCCCAGTCTCTGACTAGGCCTCCTGGTTTCTGGACTGATCAACCAAATTCTGCAGTGCAGCTTCTAGCAGCCTGACATAAGAAAGAAGTTGGTCGGTTATGTCCCATATGTGTAGAGGAAATGTGTTGGAAGGTGTCGAGGCTTTGATGTTGATTGAGTTCTCTCTAAGCATTTTTATTACACCTTTGCCTTTCAGTGGGGCTATTTTGCACATCCTGCCATGCCTTCTGGCCTAATGTGGTGTTATTTCTGTGTGTAGATTTGGAATGGGTCCTTCGAATATTTTCCCAAGTATAAATTATGTATCTTCCCACCTGTGCTCTAGGGAATAGTTTTAAAATTACTGTATCTCAGAGAAGTCCTGTGGATTTGGTGGGCAAGTCGCACTGTGGCAAGCTGTGGTCACTGGGTGGCTAGTGACAGAGTTGCCATGGCACAGTAACTCCAACATTTATTTGCACAGTTTCACACACTATTAGTTTAGTTTTTTGCACTCGCTTATTATATTAGAGTATGAACATTCAACCCATCCTCCTGTTTAGGTAGTACTTACAGTAATGGTGAGGACCATCATACATATATTGACATAAAAGGCAATAAGAAAGTAGAAATTGGTACTATTGAATTTGTCCAAACGGAAGAGTTTTGTACTGATGATGCAAAGAAAACTTAACCTCACCTTCCTAGGCCTAATACATGCTATTCGAGGTCTAGTATAGTACATATGTGCTATACTAGTCCTAGGAATATTTTTTTTTAACTACAGTATATTTTTTCAGATTATGAAGGGAATACTGTAGTACCAAATTCAACTATTTAATTGTCCAATACTGTACATCTATATATGTATAATGGTCCACATGGTTACAAAAAGTACTATCTAAGCAGGAGGATGGGTTGAAACATTGCTATATATTATACAAAAGTTTTCATTTGCACATATAGATATATGCTTATACTGTACAGAAGAACCTCAGTTCAACTACTGTAACCTCATTTTGATGAATCTCTTGGTTCAATGAACACCTTCCCCACCAGTTCAGATTGGTGGGGAAGTCTGGATGCCAATCAGGATGCAGTTTCTACCATTACTAGCATTTGATTGGGTAAACTATGGGTTTCTCTATTGTCACTGGGAGTGGGAGGAGGGTTATTCTTCAGTTTGGTAACCCAAAATCATATTCGGCAATTTGTTTATAAACTACAAGCTTAGCAAAGGCATCTGTTTTGTCATATTCTAAGAAAAATATGTCCGTGCAAATTAAAATCGGCTTGACTTGTATCCCATTGTGAAATACAGTATTCATTTGTATATGTACTTGGCTTAAAGAAACAAGCATATTTGTGTGTGCATACATGTTTTATGTGGCAATGTTACTTTTACAGTATTTATATTTTTTATTCAACAGATATTTTGTGTACATGGTGGTTTATCGCCAAGTATCCAAACGCTAGACCAAATTCGTACTATTGATCGAAAACAAGAAGTACCTCATGATGGCCCGATGTGTGATCTCTTATGGTCTGACCCTGAAGGTAAAGATATTTTCTAAATACATAACTATTTATTTAGTATAATTATTTTTTGTTTTATTTTATATATTTTTGTAAATTGGCAAATTTTTCATTTGTGATTGTGTTGTGCATTCCTTAATTATAATCAGTTACATTGTTGTACATGCTCAGTAGGTACAAGTTTAGTTAAAGATGGTCACAATTCAGACCTGGTTATGATAAAAGTTGTTCTGTGTGTCCTGTGCAATAATTTAAGACCAGTTATATGACCCTATTGGTCAGTACGCCTTTTTACCATAACATTGTAATTAAAGCACTTAAAATATTTTTCACTTCAAAAGTTCCCTCTGCACAATTAGTTTCAAATTAAACAAAAAATCCTGGTATGTTAATGCTTCTAATAAGAGAGATAGATGTACAGTACTCTTATGCATATTCTGGATGTGGAGAAATATCAGGTAGTTGATATGAATATGCAAGGTTACACTACTGTACTGTACAGGGGTTTCCTTTTTTGGGTTTGCTAGTAAAATACTGTTGTCAAAATGTATCTCTTATCTTGAACATGAAGGTGGGATATGGTATGTTCACTACCATCTCAATGGGTGTAAAGGGGGGAGGGGACAACTGTAACTCTTCCCCACAAGTTATCAAAGTAAACCTAGTTTTGTAAATGAGTACAGATTTGGTGCTGGTAGGTAGTCCTTTGGTTGGCCAGTTGGGTAAATAAGGCCTCTTGCATCACACAACAACTGAGACGTCTCATGTTGGACTGTGGGTTATTGCCTAATTTCCAGTTTTCAGTGGATTCCCTCAATTTCATACTGATAGAATTCTTCTGTTAAGTATATATCAGGCCCCTTGATTGTTGATTGGAAAAATATTGCTTAATTGCAGGACTGTACAGATTACATTGCAGTACTTTATGATTTTATGGTACCACTAGTGAGAAGTTGCTGATGGATAATAATTTGAATTTTTTCTATGTACTGTACTAGATGAACCTCATAGATTTTGTTAGTTATAATTTGTAATATTATATATTCAGTTAGATTACGTACTAATATACTTGTAGTAATATAAATTAATACTGCAGTAGTTGCTTTTCAAGTACCATATACAGTATGTGTGTGCGCGCGTGTGCTATTTATGGAAGTGCTACTAAGAATGTGTACCGTTTCTGTGTTGGGTGTGAATAGAAGTAATTTTGGCCTCCAGTTTACATTTCATCATTTTCTACAAATATAAATTTTATTTAATTAGCAGGTTTATAAAACTATTCTGCACTTAGTGTACTAACATTAGAAAGGTTAAAGTAACAGGCATTGTAAATAAATTGAGAGTTTGGGCTTGTGTTTGAGCAAATTTAATATACTGTGCTGCTAATGTTTATTTAGTAAATATTTTTATTTAGTAAAACTATTTAGTAAAGCTGCTGCTCTTACGACAGATACACAAGGGTGGGGTGTGAGTCCACGAGGCGCAGGCTACCTCTTTGGCTCGGATGTGGTAGCACAGTTCAACGACACCAATGGCATTGACATGATATGTCGTGCACATCAGTTAGTGATGGAAGGCTATAAATGGCACTTTAACAACACTGTTTTAACAGTGTGGTCTGCACCAAATTATTGCTACAGGTAAGTTAAAACAATTAACATAATGTTAGCAAGTACTGTAATTGATGGGTTTTGAAAATCATTTGTAAGTGTTTTGGAACTATGCAAGTATAGTAGTACTAGTACAGGAGAGAAGGGTTTTTGTCGACTTCAGATTTATGAAAAGCTTTCAAAGTCCCAGAAAGCCATACAAGAGAAAGAAAAATCCAAAATATTTCTTCATACCTGTACAGTGCAGGTATATCCAAAATTGAAATGGAAAAAACTCTTGTTGGTATTGGACATGCGCTCACAATTGAAGGTTCATACACAGAGATTGACAAAGAAATTTCTGTATGAGCTCGCTTATCCGAACTATGTGGGAAGGACCCCCAGAGGGATAAGCAAAATTCTTACTGGGGAAAGTCTAAAAGTGAAAATGTAGTTTTTTGTACCACAACCAGTATACAGTAATTTGAATTTACACACATGCACATACTCTCGAGCGTACGCACACACACCCACCCACCCCCACTCACTCACTCACTCACTCACTCAGAGAAAGCACATCATGCTTTCCAATGTGTATCCCTCTCCTTTTCCATGCTGATGTCATCGTGAGGAGGCTGGTGGAGTGTGATGCTCTGTGGGACAGCTTGTCCTCATTCCTTTTGAAGCTTTACGCTCCTGCTGCTGTCTTCAAAAATTTTGCTGGTTGCTTTTTCCTCTTAATGTATCATTTTTCCTCCCCTCCACTTCTCCTTTCTGATTTTCCCCGCCTGCTAACTTTTTGCCATTCTTGAATATTCTTTCCAAACTCTATTAAACATATGGTCAATGTCTGTCTAATGTGGTTCTTGAAACACTATCACCACCTCGCCCCCTTTTCAAATTTGCTTACGCAAGTGTCGCAGCACGACTGATGTCCTAGTGAACTTGGTCTATATTCGTACTGCCTTTGCTGCGAAGACCTCTGTTTTTGCTGTTCTTTTTTACCTTGAAAAGATGTATGACACCACCTGGAGATACCATATTCTGTCCCAACTCCATTCTTTTGGCCTTTGTGGTAATCTCTCTCCCACCAAAGCTTCCTCTCTGGTCGTTCTTTTAGTGAGGCTTGGTACCACTCTCTCCACCTCTTTTTTGGCAATACGAAGGTGTACACCAGGGTAGTGTTCTGAGGAATATTTTTTCTGGTTGCCCTCAATGAGCTTCTTTCTTTCTTCCTTCCCTCTGGCATTTTCTCAGCTCTCCATGTTAATGATTTTGCTCCCTGCTGTCAAGGTGATGTCAAGGTCAAGGTCGCCTTTCCTCCAGTGGCGGCTCAACTTGTGGTTGATGCTCTTGTTCTGGCCACCAATCATGGCTTCTTCTCTCCAACTAAGACTAGTGCTATGACCTTTACTCGGAAACAGGTCGTTCTTCGACCCCATTTGTTGCTTTATGGTAATCTTCTTTTGTATGAGGATTCTGTTAAACTTCTGGAGTTATTCTTTGACACTTGTTTGTCTTGGTTGCCCCATCTCTCTTACCTCCGAGTTGAATGCTCTGAGGCCCTTAATGGCCCTTAACCCCTTAAACCGCGCAAGTCATATATGTATGATTTCAGTGACAAAACTGAAACCGTTCAAGTCACATGTATATATGATTTCGTGTCTAGCGGTATAATTTAAACGCCCCGCCTGGGATAGGGGCAGTTATAGTGCAGCCACGACCAATAGTTACCAGATGCCACCTAGAAAAATAATCCAGGCCAACATTCCTAGGTGTGAGAGCTTCAGTGCTCAGCTAGCCACCAAGGCTGACACACGCAGCATGAGCTCACAGCACTGCTGTTCAGCTTGTGACCACAGCATCGCCTACAAATGCCATAATATATTATGTTCATGCTATTATTTAGCGATGATAGTATTACAGAAGACCCCTGACTGATAAAACTGACCAGGATTCTGATAATAGCGGGATAGTGGCGATATTTAGCTCTGTGCTCCATGGAGGGAGGAGTAAGGCTGTGGGAGAGAGGGTGGTGGCTTCGTCTTCTGACTGTGTGTGACCACCTTTTATTGACTGCACTCACCATACCAGCTTAGTGGTTCACTATGGTGAACACAAATGTAAATACTTACATATAACGTGTGTATAGAGTGTAATAACAGCAATAGGAGTAGGTTGGGAGTCACCATTTTGGTCACCATTTTGGTAAGGGAGGTGCATCGTCTGCACGACTTGTCATGTTGTTTACTGATGGCCTCTATGGTCTTTGCGCACCATACCAGCTTATTTGGTACAGGTATGGTGAATAAAACAGGTAGATACTTATATATAATGTGTGTATATAGCGTAATAACACCACAAACAGTATTGTTGTAGGAGAAATATTAGTGCATCTGGCCTTGAGGGCGGCTGCCACCAGCTGACTGTGTGAGTAGCTATGTCTTTGTGCCTTTACTCACCATACAAGCTTAGATGTACAGTTATGGTGAACAAAACATGTAAATACTTATATATAACATCTGTGTATAGTGAATAAATGCAAAAACAGTATTGTGGGAGGAGAATGAGGGCGAGTGAGGTGTTGTTGATGGAGGGAGTGGCAGCGAGTGGCTGGCAGGTGTGTGGTGGTCACTCCTCGTTGCATTTTGACTTTCAATACCATCTTGGTGGTTCGTTATGGTGAGCAAAACATGCAGGTACTTATATATAACCTGTGTATATAGTGTAATAACGGCAAAACTATTTGTTTATTGTTTTATGAACATAATAATTGAATCACTAATATGCACACCATAATTTTGAGTGCAGCAATGGTTCACACATTTTATTATATAAATATATCACAATTCACACTATTGAATAATATTACTGAAAAAAAAATCAGACATTGAAATACTGTAATTAGGTAATAATATATTTCTGGCAACTGCCGCCTGACAGCTCGGGCGGAGTAGACCTCGTCTGGCGAAGGTTCTGTCAACGCCCCTTTTCTGTGGGGAGCCCCTACGGCTCCCTGGAGCTTATCGGGCTAATGTGTGTTATGTTAGACCGGGACATTAGCTAAGGAGTTCAGACCTACCAGGGACCAGCGCCAGAACCTGGCCCCTTCAGAGAGGTTTCAGGGAGCAATGGCCCTGGAAAACCCCATATGGTTGGGGGTTTTCCTTATCTGCCATCGACCGGGGTTAGGCACCCAGAAAGGTAGGCGTAACAAAACAAACCCCACATGGTAAGAAACTACAACAAAAACCGAACAGAGAGGTAGAAAACTCCCTACAATCCCAAGGAAACAAGCAAACAAGCAAACATCACACTTTACTGCCGCGCCGATCGTCCGCGCAGCCCTCCCCACCCCGGGAGGGGGAGGGGGAGCCCCGGACCTACCGCGCCGGCTGCCAAGCTCCAGTTCGTTCGCTAATGTCAACCGGGATTGACGCTTCTCTGGCCTCAGTTTCCTAGGCGGTGTTTGCCTTGTGTGGCGTTCACTGCCGTGTGTTGTGGTGTGCGGTGGCCAGGAGTACTTCATCAGTGCCGGGGCTGCATGTGCTTAGTGGCTGCCGTCCCTAAGCGCCCTGTGAGTACTGCCCTTGCGTTACAGGGTTATCTTCCCTGGGGCGTTCGGGAACCATTCCCGTAGAGGTTCTTGCTGCTCGGCATTTGCCTCGCCCTTGGGGCCAGCTGGGGCTTGGGGCCCTTGTTTGGCCCTGGGTAGGGATTGGTATTGTGCTGGTTAGGGCGTCAAGGTGTTGCGCAGCCTGCCACCTAAGCGGCAGCCGGTTTCTGTTGCCTCTGGAGACGGTGTACTTTTGCGGGTTTTTTCTTTTGTTTTTCATTTTCTTGCCTGGTGGGGGTCTGCCTAAGGTGGTTATAGTTCCACTGGTAGTGTTTGGCGGCCCTCTGCTAGGCCCCCGTGCTTGTACACGTCTCGAGGGGTTTTCAGTGCTATAATCTACCCTCTTGTTATGTTTGGGTTTCTTAACCGGTTAGCAACACCTTGCCCGGGCTTCCCGTAGTTGTTACCCTACGGGCCCTGGAAACCCCTGTCTGGGCTCGGGGGACCATTGAATGTGTCTTCCGGGTTCCAACCCGTCTTGTACGGGATCGTTGGTTGCTGTTCCCTTGTCTCCGGGTGACAGTCGCCATTTTTACCTCCGTCATGCTGCCTGTTGGGTCACTGACACCTTGACCCGGAGTCTTGCGAGTGATTCTCTGCTTGTTCTCCAGTACTCTCCTGATGTTATTACTGTTCAGAGTACAGGCGGCATCCGTGTTGCAAGCTAGGTTAGGTTGCTGCAACATGCTAGGTTGGTTTCCCACTCGAATGCCCCGTGGCCGCCCCGTTTGGTTAGGTGCTGCTCGCCCCTTTCTCTCCATGTTCCGGCTCCGGACCGTCTGCGGGTTTCTGGGTCGGGGCGGGGTTCAGTTGCGGCAGAGACTCGGGCGGTTTTCGGGGGATGCCCCGTTCGGGTTGGGGACGGAGGTTTGAGCCTGTGCCTCCTGCCAAGGCTTCTGGGTCTTACCAGCGGCCCTTTCTTGTTGCCTTTCCCATGGGCTCTTGCTTTTCTTTCAGGGCGGAGGGCTTGGAGGACGGCTCTGCCCCGGGGCCTCTGTTGTTGGTTCCCGGGGCTGTGGGGGATGCCTACTAGCAGTTCTGGGGCGGTTTTGCCCCTTCAGGGGTTTTTCTGCTGTTGGGCGTCGTTTTTCGCCCTTCCAGTCTGCTAGCTTCCCACATTTGCTGGCATGTTTTTGTGTATTAAGCGTCAGTCACAGCCCCTGCTGGCGGCCATTTTCGTCTGCCGGTTTCCCGGCGTGGCCACCAGGGCGGCGTTGCGGTTTGTTTACATGCGTCTGGGTGTGCGAGCGAGCGTCTCTGGTGAGTTTTCAAAAAATTTGCAGGGTTTTTTGTTCTCCTGTTGTCGTTTCTTTGTTTTTCTGGTGTTTTCTTGCCGTTGCCTGTTTCTCTGGGAACGTTTGGGTGTTGATTTTGGGTCTGAGCCTCTGGGTTTAGGCTCAGTGCCCCTGGCTGGTATGCTTGCTCCCACACCTTGCCCCTCGGTTTTCGGTCTGTTGGGACCGTTTTCCCAGGGCGTTCTGCTGGGGTCTGTGCTTTGCCTTTTAGTGGTGTTCTCCGCTGGCAAATGTGGTGGTTTGGGCTCCCCCTGGTTCGATTCTGGGTTCCTTTGGGTTCCTTGGTTTCGTTCTGGAGGTTTCTTCCTCTTGGGCCCCCTTTTGTGGGTTCAGGGGACTTTGTTTCCTCATGTGACCCGGTTCTGCCTTTTGGGGTTCCGGGGTCTTCCTGGCTTGCAGACTGAGCTTTTTGGGTCTTGGCACATGTTGTGGTTGTGCTGGGACTTTGTGGTTTTGCTGTCGAGGTGGGCCTTTTGATGCAGTTTTGTGCCTTCTTTGCCTGGCCGGCGTAGTGCTCTTTGCCACTAGTCGGCGGCTTGTGCTTTTACACTATATGTCCTCGCCTAGTTGTGCTTGTGGGGGTTGAGCTCTGGCTCCTTGGTCCTGCCTCTCAACCGTCCGTCAACAGGTGTATCGGTTCCTGTGCCTCTTGGGCTCTGTCATGTCTACATGTGACATTGTATGGGGGTCAGCCTCGTTCCTTGTGTGAGGAGTCGCCACATTACTTCTTAGTGCCCCTTGTTACATATCCTGTCCTTCTCAACCCTGTCGATTCCCTTGGGTATCTTGTATGTGGTGATCAGGTTTCCCCTCACTTCCTCTTCCAGCGAAGTGTGGTTTCATTCCCGTAGTCTCTCCTCATGACTTCGGTAGTGTACTTTTTCTTTCTGAAGGGGTTCTGTTCCCTTCTCTGTTGACTGGGCGCTGGGGGAGCAGCTTGCTCTGTTGCCTCTCGCTTGGTCCCGCTGTTGGTGGGCGCTTTGGGTTGTCTTCCGGCGTCTGCTGGCGTCGGAGGACGGCTTCTCCCCCTTGGGGGGGGGTTCAGAGCTGGCGGGGTGGGCTTCTTCCCTGCGCTTCGTCATTTCCTCTTCGTGGGTGCGTGGGGCGTGGTCGATCCGCCCCATCCTTCTGGGCTTCCCGTCTGCTCTTTGCAGTCATGAGCTTTTCCCGTCTGCTCTTTGCAGTCATGAGCTTTTCCAGTCTGCAGTTCTTCTGGACTACTTCCGTCTGCGCCCTGGATCCTCTGCCCTGCTCGGAGGACTGTTGTCTCCTGTTCGGATTCTGTTAGGGCCGGGTGCATGGATGGTGGACCTGGACCTCCAGGTCACTTCTTGGCACGTTCCTCTCCAGTTTTTCTGTGGCTAGCACGGTTGGTAATTACCTATGTGTACTTACCTAAGTGTGGTTACAGGATGAGAGCTACTCTCGTGGTGTCCCGTCTTCCCAGCACTCTTTGTCATATAATGCTTTGATTATAATTGTCATATTGTCATATAATGATTGTCATATGTCGTAATATGTCTTCATATGATTGTCATACAATGCTTTGGTGGTGGGGCTTCAGGTTTGCTGTTTTTATTGCATTCCCTATTTTGTGAAGGGCACTTTGTATACTCTTTGCATCTTTCCCGGATCTTAGTGCCCTGTCTGCGTCTGAGATTCGGTGTCTGGCCTACCTCGACGACTGGCTGGAGTGGGCTCCCAGTCAGTCCGCTTGTCTGCTCGCCAGGGGATGGTTCTTTCCAGATCGCTGGGTTTGGTTTCCTGGTGATCTGGAGGTTTTACCTTCTGTTTCCGTCCCGGGTTCGGACCTGGGCCTTGTTTCAGGCTCTTGGGCCCCTCATTGTCTTCCCTCCAGAAGTGTTGCTGTGGCTGTGGTCCCGCCTTTGGCTGTTCAGGAGGGGGTCCCGGGTTGCTCAGCGGTTGCTTGGGCGGTTGTGCGGGAGTTTGCACTTCGGCGTGCTTGTCTGCCCGCGGAGTCGGGTTTCGCTCCGGCGTCGGTTGGTTCCTACGGAGACTCCACTTCCGCCTCTTGCATTCCTTGGGTTCCTCTGGGGATCTGGTGTTGGTGCTGCGTCACCAGCTTCCTCTTTGGGGTTTTCGGGGTTCCGTGCCTTGGCGGCTCCCTGAGCCTTCGCTCGATGTGTTCACGGACGGGTCGTCTCTCGGCTGGGGCTTTGTGACCAGTGCTCACCAGGTCGGCCGAGGTTGATGGAGTCTGTCTGTCCATCGGGCTCACAGCCCGGTTCAGGTGTTCATGGCTGTCTGGTTTGCGCTTCGGAGGGTTTGGGTCACTAGGTACTCTACCATTCAGCTCTGTTTGGACTGTTCTCTGGTGGTTCTTGCCGGAACCACAGGGGGTTTGGTTACCCGTGTGGTTCGTGTCTGGGGTGTGTCCTGCGTCCTGGTGGACAGCTGTCTCGGTTCATTCCTCTTCGTGGGTTGGCCAGTCGTCGCCGATTCGTTTTGTTGGCTCTGTTGGGCTTATGGACTCCTGGCCATGGACGTCTTCGGGTCGGCGTGGTCTAGGCGTCGCCCATTTTGTGGCGCCCTTCCCACCTGCGAGGACTTCACGGTGGAGGCTTTCGGCAGGCCTGGTCGAGGTGGGGGGTACCTGTACCTCTTCTCCCGGTCCAGCTGTTGCTTCGGGTTCTGGCTCAGTTGCAGCCCATTCCCACGAGAACAGTCCTTATGGTTCCACTGTGGCCGGCCCGGCCTTCTTTTCAGACGCTGCTTGATAGGTGTCCGTACCCGGGGCGTTTTTCCTGAGGCTTCGCCTCTTTCAGCAGGCCGAATCGGTCCTGTCCGTGACTGGTTCGGCCTTCTCTTTGGCTCTTCGCGTCTGGTATTTTGACGCAGGTATCGCCATCTCTATGGTGTTCAGGTGGCTTTGTTGACGGTGTCCCACCTGCGAGCTTCGTCTTGGAGACTGTATGACGTTTATTACGTCTTCTCGCGTTTTGTTTCCCCTCCGGCCTGCTCATGAGTCGCCTGAGCCATCCTGGTCCTTGTTCAGGGTGCCTTCTTCTCTTCCCCTCCGTTTGTGGTAGCCCCTTCGGTTTTAGTTTCCTCCTCTTTGGTACTGGTGGTAGCTTTATTGGTGTGCGGCCTTTCTCTGTCCTGGTGACGGTCGAGACGGCTGCTTTCCGGAGGGGTTCTTGGGGTATTAGTACTTGTTTGGTTTGGCCGGGGGGTGCGTCCTGTGTTGTCCAGTTGTGCTTTTTGCTGTTGCCGGCGTACCGTTCCTGGGGATGCGCTGTGGTTGATCCGGTTCCTTCGTTCCCTGTTTTCAGGGCTCGGGTCTCCCGGGTCGTCCGCAGTGTTTTCCTTCTTACTGCGGTCTGTCTTTGCGCCCGTGCTGTTCAGACGTTTGCAGCAATTGCTGCTGTGTTGGTGACGTCTCGGGCTCATTTCGGGCGCAGGGAATTGTGGGTCGCACAGGTTTTTGGCCGCCCATCCATGTGTGCGTCTGTTCTTGGGCGTTCTTGTTGCCTTGGGTCGCAGGTTTGCGACCGGTTGTCTTGGCTTTGCGTTGCAGAGTTTGTGGCGGCCACCTCCCGGGTTAGCCCTTTCTTTTCCTTCTCTTTGGGTATGAAGCTCCAGGGAGCCGTAGGGGCTCCCCACAGAAAACCAGCGTTGAATGTAATGAAACGCCATTTTCTGGGTGAGCCCCGGAGGCTCCCTGGAAACCCTCCCTCCCACTGGTCGGCGGTTTTTTCGCGTTGGTTGAAGCTTAGCTTCCGAACTGGAGCTTGGCAGCCGGCGCGGTAGGTCCGGGGCTCCCCCCTCCCCCTCCTGGGGTGGGGAGGGCTGCGCGGACGATCGGCGCGGCAGTAAAGTGTGATGTTTGCTTGTTTGCTTGTTTCCTTGGGATTGTAGGGAGTTTTCTACCTCTCTGTTCGGTTTTTGTTGTAGTTTCTTACCATGTGGGGTTTGTTTTGTTACGCCTACCTTTCTGGGTGCCTAACCCCGGTCGATGGCAGATAAGGAAAACCCCCAACCATATGGGGTTTTCCAGGGCCATTGCTCCCTGAAACCTCTCTGAAGGGGCCAGGTTCTGGCGCTGGTCCCTGGTAGGTCTGAACTCCTTAGCTAATGTCCCGGTCTAACATAACACACATTAGCCCGATAAGCTCCAGGGAGCCTCCGGGGCTCACCCAGAAAATGGCGTTTCATTACATTCAACGCTGGTTTTTTTGCCAGACTTCCCTACCCTATTGCGGCTAAAATATGCCAACAACGATTTTTTTTTTTATTTTTTCCGTGATCAGGGAACAAAAATGAACACTTATAAGACGAAAGATTTTTTTTTTGCTCCTGTGGGTGTTAAAGCCATTTGGACCCCTCCCGGTTTGAGGGTTAAGGTCTTGTCTCATACTTTCTGGGGAGCTAATAGGCACATACTCCTCTTTACATTCCTCTCTCGTACTGTCTAAACTCGATTATGGCTGTCCTACCTCGCCTCTTTGTCTTCTTGAAGTTCTTCCCCATACTGGGTTATGCCTCAGCTCTGGTGCCTTTAGTTCGACTCCTATCCAGAGCCTGTATATTGAAACGCAACCTGTCTCTACAGGATTGCCGTGATCACTACTTTGCATGGTCCCTACAATACCCTTGCTCTCACTTGTCATTCTTTGCCCATTGCCCCTTCTGTGGGCCCCTGTTCCCTTTCATCACCTTCCCCTTTCTGTATGTTTGTCTCGCTTGCAATGTTCTCTCTCGCGGTTCGTGTTACCAATATTTCTCCTCGTGTTGTTCCGTCCTTGATCCCATGGAGGGTCCCTCTTTGTAAGTTTTGTAAAACCTTAACCCGTATGACAAAAGCTTTTATCACTCCTACATATTCTTACAGTGCAGGATATGTATGCATGGTTTAATTGTTTACTTTTGTATTTTTATACATTTTTATTATGGCATTTATATTCTTTTAAGATGTGGTAACGTAGCAGCCATCCTGGAGCTTGATGAAAACCTAAAGCGAGATTTCACCATATTTGAAGCAGCACCCCAAGAGAGTAGAGGAATTCCAGCAAAGAAACCTCAAGCAGACTACTTCCTTTAGAATGACATTAAATAATTGAACTATGGTGTTCCACAAAATATTTTTTGTATATGGGTCAGTGTGTGTGTGGTTGTAAACCTGAATTATACCTGGGCTCTGCTAGTTAGAGGATGCTGAAGCAAAAATGGATTTTGAGAATGTACTGTACATGAACATGGATACAAGAAATGGCTATTGGAATTTCCATTTCACAATGCATTGTAAATTATTCATTGATGTATTAATACTGTATTCCAATGGTTGCTTGTTTTGGTCAATTGCCGTGTTCAATGAATTATTGGTGTGCTGTACTGGCATTTTTTGGGATCCTCTAATGGAATAGTTAAACTTCGTTTCTTAAGTACATGTATGATCATTATTTGTGAAGCAGTCAAATTTAGCTAAATATCGTCACTGTTGGGTTTCCTGTTGCCATTTGACCTGGCAAGTTGTCTTGCATGTTTAACATAAATATCATTAGTGCAATTACGATGGCAGAGCTCCTACTAATTACTGTGTATGGGGCAGATGTTATATTTTGCACATTTGGAATTATATTAAATGTGTGCTAAAGTAATTTTGATTATAGCTGGAACCATAATGTTTCTTGTATACTGAATGAACATATCCAACAGCAGCTGACCAAGGTAAAAATAAACTGTTAAGGTGTCAAAGCAAGAAGAAATGCTGTGCCTCACTGGAAAGAAGGAACATTTGGACCTAAGGCTTGGATCAGCCTGGTTAGTGGCAACTTGAAAAGAAAAAAGTTGTTCTATTTATCTGTATGTAAGTCAGTTTTAGAAATGAGAACATTTTAAAATTAACCCTGATGAGCTAATATTTCCCATCTAAACTTTTTTTTATGCTGTGAAATTAGGTAAAAGGGGAAATACCCTTTTTGCTTTAAGGTGATCATTGGGTTAAGTAACTTGCTGGACAAGTGATGATGAATGTTAATGTTGTGTGCAATCATTAGCAGGAAGATCAGACATTATAAATGTTTTGCTTCCATTATACGCATCTTAAAATATGTAAAGAATAAAATTAAATTGTGGCACTGTTGTCAAAGGACCAAACCTTTTATGACCTTGTGGGAACCCATTATGAAAGCTCGTGTGTGTATATAAACCATATGGTTATATGGTAATATTTATCTGCTGTAATCACTTCATGATTAATCTTCATCTGTAAATGAAGCATAGCTCATTGTTCATCGTAATCAATACCCATTTAGTCAACGACATGATTTAAAGCCCTTGAGATGTGAAGCACTTGCAACTGAACATTCCACATGCGAGCCAGTATAGCAAAGTTTGTCCATGAGAGGACGTGTGAAGAGCATCGGTTTACAAGAATACTGTATATATATTGATAGTAAGTGATCTTCAGAAATTAATGTATCTACATCATTTACTAATGTGATTACCAAAAGCCTTTAGATATTTAGTCAAAACACCATCTGAATTAGAAAAATTGGTTCCTATCCTAGTGTTCTTATTTAAAATACACTAATTAGCATTAAATTTGCTGAGTTTATAAATGCAGTAGTAACTAATACTGTACTTTCAATTTTTTTTTTTCCAAGTGACTGCTGCTTAAATAGTACACTGAATGGCTTCTATTATTCAAGTACTGTTTAGTTGCAAATGCAAATAGTCCTTTGCAAACGGTGAAAAGTTAAAAAGTAAACACACAGGATGAATCCATGATGTATTATGGTTACATATTTTTGTGAAACAAGAATGCTATTGCAGGGTCATATTTAGGCATTTTAATTCTGCCTTTGTGTACTAGCATTGTAATATTAAGATAGTGTAATCCTGTCAAATTTTAGTTAAATATGTTCATGTGGAAGTGAAGAAATTCCATCTTTGTAACTGCACTCAATTGGCTAATGAAATAGTGCTATGTTTGTATAAATTTTAAATTTATTGTTCACCTTGTTAACGTGATTGTAGTAGTCATTATAGCTGGCTATAAAGTAAATTTTGTTACAGTAATTGTAGGTCATAATAATGATGATAGTCATGAACCTGATCATTCTTTTTATATAAAAAAGCACATCTAAACCTTGATACTTACTGATTATATTTTAAGCGTCAAACATATTCTGCACAATTTGCAATAATTGATTAAACATAGATATAATGTCATAATGAAGTGGATTGTGTAACAAGTTTTGTATTGGAAATATGAATGTCATGTATGTAGCAATGAAACGAGCACAAATTTGAAAAATCGGTAATGTAGGCTTTAGATACATAGTGACTTAGATGGCATAACAAAGAATGCAAGTCTCCTAGGTTTAGTGATGCTAGCATGATGATTCTTGATCTTCTGGTAATTTTATTTTATAGGGAAGGTCTTTGGTCAGGATACAAAAAAGATTGGACAAGACAACTTCACATATATTGTCTTTGCCTGTTTCATGTGGATTATTGACGATGGTTTATTGCAGTCATTGTGTGAAGTGTTGAATTTTTAAAGTAAAGTGTGTAGAAGAGACGAGGCACATAGCATGTAGGTAGGTGTAGAATTTAATCAGATCATTGAAACTTGTTGCTGCTGGAGGTTCAGTTGTGGGATCTTCTGTAATGCCATAGCCACCACACCACTTGCCCCAACCCTTGACTGGATGCCCGGATCATCTGACCCTTGGTCATTCTGTAATATGACCCAGTATTTGAATGTTGTGTATTGTACAAAAGAAATGAATGCTCACATACCCCAATTATGAAAAGCCTGTTGGCTGTCTCATTACAATGGATATGAGATGGACTGTACATATGGATCAGGATTTTTTTACATTGCAAGTTCTTAGTGTTCAGCATGCATCAAACTTTGTGGAAAATGTGGGAAACAAGATTATATTTGCCGTTGTTCATAATGTGGGCTCCCGTGCAATTACAGATTTGCAAACTCTACCATTGTCAGCCATGATTATGCATCTCTCGTGCATATTATTAAACTCTTGTATATAGTATACAAGTATACAGCAAATCAAGGTCAGTTTCCTTGTGAAAGTTATGTATATTCTCTTACAGGAGTCTTCAATATTTGCATTGTGTAGAATGAATAAACATTTATTTTCTTTGATAATATTATTTAGACCCATGTTTTACATTGTTCTATTTTATTTAGAACTTATTAAGTGTAAGCATTTTTTCTTGGTTGTGGATGGAATTGGCTTCAACAACCTAGTCACTGCAGATCACCTATACAGAGTACAAACATTGTGGATGGAATTACATATAAAGATAATACATATGAATAAGTATTACCCACCCAACTGGGCATCAGCTTTACAGTCATGTGCATGCATTAACTACAGTAAGCAAATTTTGGATACTTCGCTAAGATTTCGGGCAGCACATCATTATGAATGAAGTGTTTACACATTTCTTGGACACCTATTGATGGTGTTATCTCTGAATTCCGCGATGGATCTGTATGACTAGATTTTCCAAAATGTTCAGTTTGACTTAAAGATACCGACAGGGCCGGTGGCTGACTAAACAGCACACTGGACGCGTGATCCTGGGTTCGATTCCTGGCGTCGGCGAGAAACAATGGGCAGAGTTTTTTTCATCATGATATCCCTGTTACCTAGCAGTAAATAGGTACCTGGGAGTTAGTAAGCTGTCACGGGCTGCTTCCTAGGGTGTGTGGGGGGGACGGGGAAATAGTAGTTAGTAACAGTTGAGAGGAGGGCCGAGAGAACAGAGCTCAACCCCCGCAGGCACAACTAGGTGAATACACAAATCACAATAGCGCGATGCATCAAATGAACAAACCACCACCAACTGTGGTAAATCAGGATGAATTCCCGGTTGCAATTCTTATAACCATGTAGCTCAGTCGATTAAGGTGTTCCACTTTGAAGAATTTGGACACTGGGCACAAATGTATTCTGAAGTGGAGGTACCTGTAACTATTATCTGATGATTGAATTTCTGGGTGCTTGGGTCTCCTGGCTAATTTGACTTATTTAACTTAGGTACACAAGTTTTAAATATCAGGAATTTCTTTTTCAGTTTATTAAACAATAGAGATTTTATACAAAATTTGAAAATATCCCGAGTTACTTTACAATTTATTGATATGTTTTAGTTTTGTTTTACTAGTTTTATAAAACTGTAATATCAATATAGCTATAGGTTAAGTACTAATTGTAGTTAAGAAGCAATAAAATGCTTATCTTCAAACACTAAGACGGTTAGGTGAGGTCGTGGTTTTCTATTCAGCTTTTCAGGTAAACTCAAATATTCACAATATATTTGACTACGATTTAATACTGTACTAAGTGAAAATAAGTACAATTCCTGACTGCTATAAATAGTACATAATTGCACTTATTTGTGCTGTTACATTTACCTCCCCATTTTTGGAGGACGGGCTGAAACTCTGAGCAAGAAGTGGGTTGTGATCTCGCCCAGCTGTTTGTCTCGCTCAATAAATTTAGGGAATCTACCATCAGTGTCAAGCTATAGCTAGTCCTGAGCATCTGGCCTCCAACCTTGGACAGACATTCTATTTTATAGGCATAAATAAAAGAAGAAAAGCCCCTAACTATCACGTGCAGCATTTTAGCCAGCTAAAGATAATTAAGATTTTTTTTTCATATGTCAAAATTAAGAAATTGTGAAGATTACCTGTGCGATTATGCTACTTTGGCATATGTAGATACATACATAAATGCTAAATAAATTTTTGAGCTTAGTCCCCGAGTCCATAATATGCTTCTAACCTTCAATACCACCCTACTATGGAATGCACTACTGCCCACAGAATGGGTATGGGGTCGACTACTGCCCACAGGATGGGTATGGGGTCGACTACTGCCCACAGGATGGGTATGGGGTCGACTATACTGCCCACAGGATGGGTATGGGGTCGACTACTGCCCACAGGATGGGTATGGGGTGCAAAAGAAATGAACTAAAAAAACAAAGTGTTGACATAAGACAGGAAAATTAAGGATACAATATTTATGATACTTTCTGATTACATTTTTTTGTTGATAAACAAGTAGGAAGATTATTCAGTAAACAAAATATTGAAGATGTTTAAAGGTGTCAGAACTCGCCATCATTGAAAGCTGATGGGAGCTGCAGCAAAAAAAATAGTAATAATCACACGAACATTTGAATTTAAGGAATGCGCCCCCATGCACTTGGATTATTGTACCCCAAGGATGAAGACCTTATCTTCAGAAAGACATAACTTCATTGGAGAAAGTACAACACCGGGCAACCAAAATAATTCCATGACTTAACTCTCGTATCAGGAACGGTTGAGAGCCACAGGGAACTGGGTTGTGGTAACACTCCAAACCAAGCATGACAGGGCGGATCTTATCGAAACTTAAAATACTGAACAATTTAGAGGATGTTGATCCAGACAACTTCTTCAACAGGTCAAATGTAACAAACAAGGAGCAATGATTTCAAGCTCAACAAGGCTGTAGGACTGAAAACCTGCTTGTTCACCCACAGGGTGAACCGCCCTATTGGGTTCCTGTTCCATGGAACCGCCCATCCACCTAAGCTGTAAATGCCAAAGCATTGCGCAAATTCAAAATCCAGCTCGATAAACTCATCAGGAATTTTAACAAGCCGCTGACTTCCTGATCTCGCTGAGGCCACTAGTGAGATGGTTGCTCTCATGGAAATTCGTGTAAATAATATTTGGGGTTTACAATTTATGCTCTCTTGTGATATTTAACATTGGTTTACGAAAATCAACTACGGTATTTATAATGTACTTACGGGATTTGGCTGATTCCCTGTGGGTGGCAGCGCCACCTGGTTGTGCAACACTGAAGTCAATGTAGGTTGATATGCACATGTAGTCCCATACCAACTGCTTGCCATTCTTCCAGGGGCTCACTGTGATACTATCTGGGCGACCAATAAGAGCATCAGAGTTACGGGGGGTTAGATAACGGGGCTCTCTCTCAGCTGGGCATCCAGCTGTGGTGAGGCCCCTACTGATGATGTCGTTAACTTCACTGTGCCTCGAATGCCATCCCCTTGTACTTTGGCAGAGGCCATGGGGGCCGTACCTGTCGACCACCACCTCTCCGCAAATACACCTATTTTTGGTGTGGATTGGGGCAGCATGGCAGAGGGCCACAGCAATTCGGAGGGCGTGTATTGTGAGACGTGTGCCAGTTGCCGATATTGGGGTTGCTAACAGGAAATCCCCTGCATGTGGGGCTGCTACTGCTGTGAGGCGAGCAATGTCGTGTTGTGTTGTTGCAGCACCCAGGCACTCTGCAGCAACTTGGTCTGCAATGGGGTCATCCCAACTGGACTGCTTGTGGGCTTTTGATAGTGGTGGTTGAAGTGATTGGTCTACATGAGAGGCCCACTCGGTGGCACAGCATGTAAAATTGGGATCGTGTACGCCTGCCAGCTGACCTAAGTAGGCAGGTAGAATTTCCTTCACAAGGTTGTCGGATGCCGAGGAGGAGGACAGGATGGCTGGTACAGTGATTTGTGTTACTGTTCCATCTCCAAGGCCACTAAGTCTTACGGGAAGAGAAGCTTGTTTCCACTGTAGGTCATCAAGAAAGACGTTGAAGGCTTTTTCTAACAATGATTTCAGTAAGAGGTCATACTCACCTAGTTTTTGGCTACTATAGGATGATGAACACCTCAGAAAGTAGGTTAACCTGGCGAGGGACAGGCCTCAAGGTAAAGTGCGTCATGAACATCAATATCCTCAATCCACTTGGTAGAACATTCTCTATTCTCTATATGATGCCCTGGTTGGAACATATTATTTCACACTTGGAAGAGTTCAGGGTGAGGCCTAAAACTGCACCTTTTTTGCAGGTGATATATACTCCCTGCAGTACATTAAGTCTTACCTTACTGACAGGCTCCAGTATGTTTCTGTGAATAATTCAATTTCTCCCACCCTATCCATCAACATTGGTGTTCCCCAGGGCAGCATACTTGGCCCTCTCCTCTTTCTCATCTACATTAATGACCTTCCAAATGCCTCCCAACATCTCAAACCAATTATATTTGCTGACGACACGACCTTCGTTTACTCCAGTCCTGACCCCCTTGCTCTAAATGTCACAGTGAATACTGAGCTAAATAAAGTCCATCACTGGCTAACTGCCAACAAACTTACCCTCAATATTGACAAAACTTTCTATATTTTGTTTGGCAATAAATCCTCAAATTAAATAAATCTCAGGATTAACAATACCCAAATATGTAACAAAGTAGATGGCAAATTCCTTGGCGTTCTCATTGACCACAAGCTGAATTTCCGGGGACACATTCTAAATACTGTATATCAAAAAAAGTTTCAAAAACTGTTGGCATTCTTTCTAAGATCAGATATTATGTACCTCGCCCTGCCCTGGTGACACTCTATTATTCTCTCATCTATCCTTATCTCAACTATGGTATTTGTGCTTGGGGTTCTACTACCCAAAATCATTTACGTCCTGTAATTACTCAACACAAAGCTGCTATTAGGACAATATCTAACTCTGGCCCCAGACATCACTCGGTACCCTTACTCAAATCTCTGAATATGTTAGATATTAAGTCACTGCACATCCTCTCATGTGTATATATATATAAAGGTCATTTTGGGTGACCTCACCCAAAATGCGGGTATAAAATGAAAGCTGTTTAAATCATAGCGTAGTAAGAACTCTGTTTAGTGTTTGCAGGTTATAGTTGTGTGTGTGTGTAAACTAAAAGTCTTTGAAAATGTAATAAGTTATTACGAAACGCGTTCAAGTGTCGCGTCAGACTAGAAATAAAAATGAATTTTGGAGAATTGATTTTTTAATTACCATCAACAGTGAAAAGAAACATAAGAAATATTGAGAAAATTCGTGTTAGAATTATTAATCTTACTTTTTCGGTCATATTTAATAATATATGTCTACAGGAAAGACTGCTACCAAAATATACATATATATATGTATATATATATATCAGTTTGATGTTGACAACGGCTTTAATCTGGCCGAAACGTTCACTTCCTTTCACATTTCTCTGGATTTTCCGCATAAAAATGATCAGTGTTTTGTGATCGCCAATTGCATGTATATATACATATATATAACCTATGGGCAAGGAGTGACACAAAACCCTTGTTGTAAAAAAAATTAATTTTAATCCACCAATCAGTTTAGATCATTTATTATATACCCCCTACCCATCGTGAAGGAGGTAGTGGAAAAGGCTGCAGAGGCACATAATGCCCTCAAGGACTGTACCCAAAAATTCATTTACCTGACCCGACAATCTACAGCAAAAATGTTAAAAGATTGACTTAAAATATGTTCATAAATACCAAGGAAACTATATAGTATTTAAACAAAAATTAATATATATGCTAAACATAAATAATTATAATTAAGCGGTAAATAAATGTAAAGAAATAAGGAGAATTGATGAAAGTCTTATATGAAAAGCAAGGCGTGGAGGAAGTCGAGGGTTTAGAGAGTTGTCAACACCAGCGGAGCGGGTCACTATGGTGAGTGGTCGGCCGCTTTATCATTCTTTACCTTTGTTTTGGCCACAAGTGCTCTTTACGGCCATCACAGTTGTATATGGTATTACTATATACTATTGATCTTGTAGTGGCTATTATATACTTGTTGCGTATATGTGTAACAAGATGTCTGGTAAACAATGTCGTCCCACCCATGTTATGTCCCACCTCATGCTACGTCCCACCTCATGCTACGTCCCCCTCCATGCTACTTTCCCCATGCTATGTCCCACCTCATGCTACGTCCCATCTCATGCTACGTCCCCCTCCATGCTACGTCCCCCATGCTATGTCCCCCCATTCTATGTCCCACCTCATGCTACGTCTCCCATGCTATGTCCCCCCCCATTCTATGGCCCCCCCCATGCTATGTCCCATCCATGCCACATGTGCAGCCTGTTTTCCGGCCGAATACCGTTACATTACAATTTGAAATAAGTATTTGGTAGATAGCTAAATCTGAATGTTCTTTAATTTAATGAAACTGTATTAATAATATTTACCCTATATACAGTATAGGTATCATGCCATGCTCCACATCAGCTGGTATACAATGTTAAATTAACATCAGTAACATTTATTTTAAAGGAGACTGTCATATGCATGTGCACTAATACCATGTCTTTTGTAATTGGCAGTCATTGCTGTCCATTGTCATTATTGTACTATTTGTTAGCATTATTGGTACATCCCCCAAACCTTTTACTGTGCCTTGGACTAATTACTTGGCATTACTTTTCAGGGTCAAAGCCAGAGTAGTGGTTCAGGGGGAGGGGGGCAGGGAGGAGATGACAAGAAAGACAAAAAGAAAAAGTACGAGCCTCCGGTACCTACCCGTGTTGGGAAGAAGAAGAGGAAAATGAAGGGACCAGATGCTGCAAACAAGTTGCCTCTTGGTAAGAGTAATCACATAATTGCATTATACAAACCATCCTCCAAAACTGATAGATTTAGAATCTTTATCCATTGCAGATGTAATGTTCAAAATAAGAATTGTTTTATCCAAGAAAGTTATATTTTGTACTACAGTACAGTATTTGAATTTTAAAGGGCATAAAAAAATGAATGAATAAAAAGAACTTAATCTGTCTTAGGCCTAAATATGCAATCTTAGGTCTAATTTAGTACATAGACCTGCGCTTCATATATGTACTTAGGCCTATTTACAAGGCCTAGGAAAATTCGGGCTTAGTCATTTCCTCCCTTCTCTGGCCGTCTACAAAATACAGTACAAAACTTAGACTTTTTGCGAGCAACAGTCCATATTTGATACTTCCATTATTAGTAACTATATGTACTATAATTTTTAGATTACAGGTTTGGATTATGTGCATAATCCTTAATCAATACCAGTTGTGGGAGTTTCCCAGCAGGTGTTCTCGTTTAAATTTAAATTCTTTGTAGTTAAGTGGACTGTGTGTTTATTTCTAAACCCGCTAGGTGTTACCACTAACAAATTTTGGGGGGTAGATTTATACTGCTAAACCTACCTAATAAAGTTGTAATAGTGAATATGGTTGATGGTGATAATTAAATTTCATATGATGTTAGTAAATGAACTACAAATATTAATGAATGAACTAGAAGGGCTTAGCTGCCGAGTTGGTATGCATATGATACATCAGGTGAATGTCCTAAGAATCGGTCAAAATTATCAATGCTAATCTTTTCCCTAATTATGCTCAAGGGAAATTAGTCACGCTATTTAATTCATCTCATTCACTAACGAGACGGTATTGGCGTCATTTTACGCCCTAATATTTTACATCAAATTCCAGAAAACCATTTTCCATTGTTTATAACAATGGATTGAAAGATTTTTTCGTGATTTAAAGTACATTTAATAAGTGCTGTATATGTGACATGATGATTATTCTGCCAGTGAATCAACATGTCACGGATGTGGAAATTTACCTTGGGACGGAAGTACACTTTAATTCTTGTTAAATTTAATTCATTTCCAATCTAAATAATAAATGCAAATGAAAGCAAATTGCCGACCGGTTTTAATAAGAATTATATAAAAAAATCGTTAAAGCGTAAGACATGGTGGGTAATGCAATAGCTCACCATCGATACTAGGAAACTTTTTGGTGTTCCCTCACTAGAAATTAATATTATTAGTAAATTTAATTTCCTAACACAACTCCTTTATCTTGCTGTGGTAGGGGTTAGTGCTTTGGGTGTTGGAAATTTCTGACACCAGTCCAATGCTTGGACTGGTATTTTTGGGCTGTCATATTTATTTTATATAAATCTCGGGATAAATCATTAAAGTACAGGTATGTACATATATACTTTATTTGTTGTACTGTATTGGAAACCATCTGGTTCATTTGAACCCCATTTAGATATAATTTGTCCATGCCCTTGTGCACTTTGCTAGTTTGAATCGTTAGTTAAATTAGTGGTTAGTCTTAAGCTTTGAGTACTGCACAGTACTCTCTTCCAGTTTCAAAGCAGGAGAGATTTCTTAAATAGATACTATAGAGAACATTTATGGCACGTACAGACACGATAAAGCACTTACATTATTGGGACCAACTCGAAGCTCTCAATGTGGCCACCGAACTTTCAAACCTCTCTACACCCTCATCCTCTTGCTGAATTTCATGTCCCCATTCCTCTACCTCCCCCCCACCCTTTCCAATCCCTTTGGACACAAAGCTAAACATCGAATACTGTAATATATAAATTGAATACAGTATAATGGAAGGCCAGGTCCCAAATTTGCACAATAAAATAACATAGTGGAGCAAAAGATATGGAAGGAAATGCAGAATAGAACTAATGAGGAGTAGGGGTGTCATAGGCACAATCAGAGAGCACAGTATGAACATCAGAGGTTTCTTGACTGTTTCTTACCCTCCCAGCAAACCTAAGAAATATTGCTAGAACAAAAGTAGACTTCAAGAAGTAACTAGATAAGTTTGTGCAAGAAGTGCTGGACCAACCAGGTTGTAGTGGATATGTAGGGCTGCAGGCAGGTCTATTCAATAGCCTGTTAAACAGTTATCACAAGTTGAGCTAAGCCCCAGACCTGGCTTGAGGAATAGAACTCTTGGAACCGTCTCCAGGGTAAACTGTGGGAGCCGGTCGGCCGAGCGGACAGCACGCTGGACTTGTGATCCTGTGGTCCTGGGTTCAATCCCAGGCGCTGGTGAGAAACAATGGGCAGAGTTTCTTTCACCCTATGCCGCTGTTACCTAGCAGTAAAATAGGTACCTGGGTGTTAGTCAGCTGTCACGGGCTGCTTCCTGGGGGTGGAGGCCTGGTCGAGGACTGGGCCGCGAGGACACTAAAAAGCCCCGAAATCATCTCAAGATAACCTCAAGAAGAAGCTCCAAGTATCCCTTCATTATTCTGACTTTGGACGGGGACAAACTTTTCATCTGAATTTCTGGGTGACATTCTTTTCATGTAGTCTTCCCTCTTTAGTTCTAGTTCTTATGGTATCCCATCTATCATTGCCATACACTACAATATTAACATTTAACTCTTGCAGTAACGCCACATACACGTTGCCGCCTCAAAATGTTGAAACTGGAGCGCATCAAGGACTACTTGCTAATGGAAGAGGAATTTATTCGTAACCAAGAAACTCTTAGGCCTCAAGAGGAGAAGCAGGAGGCAAGTGAAAATAAATCTTGGGATAAATCTTTTAATGGTAATTACAGTACTGTGAACTAAAAAGTAGGTGGAGTGTTTAGTGAGTCTAGGTTTTGATTTCCTGGTTTTTAGCATTGGAAAGTATTGATAGATCAACTTCATTATTTCAATTTTAGTGTCATTTATAGATATTCATATTAATTTATTTTATTTTAAAATTATTAAACACAATTTCTGATCTACTACATATAAATTTTAGGAGGAGAGGAGCAAGGTGGATGATTTGCGAGGTACTCCCATGAGTGTAGGAACCCTGGAAGAAATCATTGACGATAACCATGCAATCGTCTCCACAAGTGTGGGCTCGGAGCATTATGTCTCCATTCTCTCCTTTGTAGATAAGGATCAGCTTGAACCTGGATGTTCAGTGCTACTCAATCATAAGGTGAGTGAGTGTTAGTGGATATAAAAACATAAGATGAAAATCTCATTATGACATATCGCACCTGCATTAGCTATGTAAATACCGAGCTGAGGTAAGGCTCAATATAGGTTGTTTCTGTGAGCCAGTTTCCTATATAGGCCTGCTGATGCTATCTGCATTCCAGGCTTTTATGACTTGTTCACCTACCTTGTCTTGTAACTTTTCAAATAGTCTGTTCATGTAATTTGGCAAAGTAGTACATGGGCCACTATTAACTCGAACTACCACTGAGACTAACTCCAATATTATACAAAGAGAGCAGAAATTTGCCTTGACAAATTCCCTCCAAATGAAAGCTTAAATAATGTTAGTTATCATTGCTAACAATCAACTGGGCAAATGGCAGATACCTTGCCTGCCACCAGATATCAGTACTGTACTTTATCTCCACGACATTAGGGTCAGTGGAACCAGCAACCTTATTTTCTGACGGTCCACATTTACTGCCTTTGACTACAGTAACCACTAAGGTAACTATTGATTGATACAGAAAAATTCATTAATTTAGTTGTTATGCCAGAGTCTTCATGTGACTCTCTGGAAGCTATATGCAGACCATCTGATATTGGTGGGAAGTGTTTGAGAGGTGTGGAGGTGACAGGAATACTTGGATGATTAACTGGGTATTTCCTCGTTCTTGGAATGTACTACACATACGCCTATCCTTGCCATAATTTTATACCTATCACAAATCATCATAATTATAAAGCTATCTAATTTATATAATCCTGGGCTTAGAATAATTCACTACTTTTTATAAATGAAGATTCAGTAATATTTCCTTTAGTAACTGATTTACACCAAAATATTTGAATGAATTAGTCCATTCAGTTGCATGATTCCAATCTCTTAAATGAATAAACAACGCATTGGATTCTAGATCTATCCTTATATTGTACTATATTTGTGGTCTTTTATTCTCTAGTTAAGAGGTTTACCTGTTTGGCCAACATAGACTTTATTACAATCTTTAGGATTGAACTTGTTACAATGTGGAAGGTGGACTGTAGAAGGTTGTAGGCACCCACTAACCTTCTACAGTCCACTTAACCAGTAAATTACATACAGTATGTAGTTTATTTAAACTTTTCCTTTCATTTTCATCCAAATTGACCATTCTATGAGAAATATTTTATTTTATATATACTTTATGATGGGCAGATATGAGTGAATATCAATAGCTGCACTTGAAGGGCTAAGGATTTTGGTACGAAAGTAGTAATAAGTGGGATTAAAATTGGATTGAAAGAAAGAGTGTTAATAAAAGTTTTGGCCCTTTTTATGTACTGGTATTGCAAAGTTAGAAAGTGTTTAATTTTGTTTGATAGGTACATGCTGTTGTTGGAGTTCTGAGTGATGACACAGATCCCATGGTTACTGTCATGAAGCTAGAGAAGGCACCTCAAGAAACCTATGCAGATATTGGAGGTAATATCTTATTTTATGTGTGATGTGCTGTTGGATATTATACTCTATTAATTAACAACACTTCTTTCATTTTTTCATATAATTCTTACTTTTGTGCTTGGAGCTTGATTTGAGCTATTTTGCTCTGCTGCATAAGTACAGAGTACATATGTCAAATCCTTAACACTTAGTTTAATCAATGATAAATACTTTATATTTTATTTCATGGACACTGATTTTTAAATGTTTGTGGTTCAATTTTACATTCTAATGGGCTATCACACCAGGGTAGTCATATATTGCATGGTTTTCATGAGATTATGATCGGTCAGTTACATATAGTTTGTGATCTGTGGGATAGATCCCAGCATTCGGGGGCCTGATGGCTGAGTGGACAGCACTCGGTATTCGTAGTCCTAAAGTTCCGGGTTTGATTCCCGGTAAAGGTGGAAACAATTGGTCAGTTTCTTTCACCCTGATGCACCTGTTCTAGCTGTAAATAGGTACCTGGAAGTTACAGTTGTTAAGGGCTGCTTCCTGGGGAGGGTAACAAAAAGGAGGCTTGGTCGAGGACTGGACCACGGGAACTCAAAGTCCAGAAATCATCTCAAGATAACCATCCAAAAATGGTTGACCATAAATGGTGCTTGGGGGTACATTTCAGGAAATTAAATGCACCAAGTGCTAGAGATGTCCATTATCCAGTCTAATGAAACTGAGATCCCTTGGGCAATTAACTAGTCATGTTTTTAATTTTTTACTCAATCTGCAAATATCTTAAAATTTACTGGTATTATGGTATACAGTATAATAATATATATATAATATATATATATATATATATATATATATATATATATATATATATATATATATATATATATATATATATATATATATATATATATATATATATATATATATATATATATATATATATATAATATGTCGTACCTAATAGCTAGAACGCACTTCTCAGCCTAATATGCAAGGCCCGATTTGTCTAATAAGCCAAGTTTTCATGAATTAATGTTTTTTCGACAACCTAACCTACCTAACCTAACCTAACCTAACCTTTTTTCGGCTACCTAACCTAACCTAACCTATAAAGATAGGTTAGGTTAGGTTAGGTAGGGTTGGTTAGGTTCGGCCATATATCTACGTTAATTTTAACTCCAATAAAAAAAAATTGACCTCATATATAATGAAATGGGTAGCTTTATCATTTCATAAGAAAAAAATTTGAGAAAATATATTAATTCATGAAAACTTGGCTTATTAGGCAAATCGGGCCCTGCATAGTAGGCTGAGAAGTGCGTTCTGGCTACTAGGTACGACATATATATATATATATATATATATATATATATATATATATATATATATATATATATGTCGTACCTAGTAGCCAGAACTCACTTCTCAGCCTACTATGCAAGGCCCGATTTGCCTAATAAGCCAAGTTTTTATGAATTAATGTTTTTTCGTCTACCTAACCTACCTAACCTAACCTAACCTAGCTTTTTTTGGCTACCTAACCTAACCTTACATATATATATAGGTTAGGTTAGGTTAGGTAGGGTTGGTTAGGTTCGGTCATATATCTACGTTAATTTTAACTCCAATAAAAAAACATTGACCTCATACATAGTGAAAAGGGTAGCTTTATCATTTCATAAGAAAAAAATTATAGTAAATATATTAATTCAGGAAAACTTGGCTTATTAGGCAAATCGGGCCTTGAATAGTAGGCTGAGAAGTGAGTTCTGGCTACTAGGTACGACATATATATATATATATATATATATATATATATATATATATATATATATATATATATATATATATATATATATATATATATATATATGTCGTACCTAGTAGCCAGAACGCACTTCTCGGCCTACTATGCAGGGCCCGATTTGCCTAATAAGCCAAGTTTTCCTGAATTAATATATTTTCTCTATTTTTTTCCGTATGAAATGATAAAGCTACCCATTTCATTATGTATGAGGTCAATATTTTTTTATTGGAGTTGAAATTAACGTAGATATATGACCGAACCTAACCAACCCTACCTAACCTAACCTAACCTATCTTTATAGGTTAGGTTCGGTTAGGTAGCAGAAAAAGTTAGGTTAGGTTTGGTTAGGTAGGTTAGGTAGTCGAAAAAACAATAATTTATGAAAACTTGGCTTATTAGGCAAATCGGGCCTTGCATAGTAGGCTGAGAAGTGCGTTCTGGCTACTAGGTACGACATATATATATATATATATATATATATATATATATAATATGTCGTACCTAATAGCTAGAACGCACTTCTCAGCCTAATATGCAAGGCCCGATTTGTCTAATAAGCCAAGTTTTCATGAATTAATGTTTTTTCGACAACCTAACCTAACCTAACATTTTCGGCTACCTAACCTAACCTAACCTATAAAGATAGGTTAGGTTAGGTTAGGTAGGGTTGGTTAGGTTCGGCCATATATCTACGTTAATTTTAACTCCAATAAAAAAAAATTGACCTCATATATAATGAAATGGGTAGCTTTAT